TCTCTGTGATTAATTTTTCGCTTGAGCTTTTATATATGCGTCGTTCGTTCTTTCAATTTACTTAGTCGTTTTTCATTTAAGAATACTTGGAGAACTAATCGGGGATCTGGCTCCCCACCTAGGCCGTGAGGGGCGGAAGGTTGGCAGGGCCGACCTTGACCTCACCCTGCTTGGTAAGGCGGGGCTGACCCACACACTATCGATTTAGGACCGATGAGTGTGCAAGCTGTTCGGCCAACGGTCAGACAACGGATGTACGAGAGGGGCTCGGGGCATGACCCATCGCATACCTTCGACCCGGAGGCCGGTCTTACACCTTGACTTGTACATCTAGTTTCATACTTGGGAAAAATCTAGTTATCCCTTTCTGAAAGTCGAACTGAAGTCGGCCAAACGTAAGGGCAAGACCCTGCATGATCAGACCAGAACGGACCCGCACCGCTGACCATATCAAACGAGTATGCGGGCTGTTAAGCCTAGCAACGTCAGACAACGGATGTAAGAGAAGGGCTCGGAGCATGACCTCCCGCATACCTTCGACCCAAAGACCAGTCATATAGTCGCTGCACCGTTGATTAGGTCCAACGATTATGCGAGCTGTTTAGACAGCAACGTCAGACAATGGATGTACGGAGGGGCTCAGAGCATGACCTCTCGCATACCTTTTCGACCCGGAGGCCGGTTACGGTCGCCCTGACCGAGCAACCAATCCTAGACTTAGAAAATAGTCTGATCATTTTCTTGCCCGAGGATCGAGTTGTGGTCGACTAAACACCGAGAGCGGGGCATCTTAGTTTTTTTTTTCTTTTTTTTGTCGCCGCCCGTTCATTTCCAAGTGAGGTCAGACCTCATTAAATTCTAGAATGGAAAACGGTTTTTTATATTGAAGGAGAGTTCTACACTTGATCTACTAGCCTGTGGTGCTCCGCTCTTAGGATTTGACAAGGTACCGTGTGCCTGTACTTTGTAGTTTTGATATTGATGGTATAGACCTATATGTGCAACATGGTTTTCATCACTATCGTCTGGACTTGTGCTATGACAAGGCCGTGCAACCAAGGCTCTCTGCGAAGACGGTACACCCACTTCGCTGGATTGAACTCGTGCAACAAGGTCTCCAGGTGATGACTGTGTTCCTGTCTCGGTGGATTGGACCTGTGCAACCAAGCCTCTTGGTGGTGACCGAACGCTCACGTCGCCGCGTTGAGCTCGTGCAAGGGTACCCAATCTGCCGGTTGTTGCTGCGAGTTTTCATTGTGGACGAAAACTCGCCCATAACGTGGTGTCTTGTCATCTTCCTCCTTAACTGTTCATGCTCATGGCGTACGGGTGCACGACGCATGAGCTCTCTGACGGGCAAGAGTATAACCGTGGTCTCTCATGCATGTCAGTGAGTCACAGCCGACCGCCTGGGTCGTCAAAAGGTCTGTGGCATATTCCTCCTCAATTGATCATGTTCGGCTACTCAGGCCGTATAACGAAGCCTCTTAGCGGTGGCCGAATGCTCACGTCGCCGGGTTGGGCTTGTACGACCGTGCGGCCGTCTCGCCATGGCGGGCTCGTGCAACCAAACCTCTGGGCCGTGACACTGCGGCCACCACGCCAAGTGGGGCTCGCGCGGATGATGCCCGACCCGCCAATTGTCGCTTGGACTATGTTAGGCGCGTAGGGGCGCACGAGTGCAGAGCATACGAGCATATACGATGACAGCTACAACGTGCACAATCCTCACTCGATGCTATGCGACTGTGACTTGTCGGTGCCAATGAGTATCTTTAGTCTTAATGCAATGCTTGGACAGAAAGGATTGAATCAGAGCTCAGCTATCTTTGACTTGGTGCTCTAGAGATGTGCAGAGCGTACGAGCGCACGGGGCGTACGGGCGTACGGGGCGTACGGGCGTACGGGGCGTACGGGCGTATGGGGCGTACGGGGCGCACGGGGCGTATGGGCGCACGGGCGTACATGCCGTACAAGGCGTATGGGCGTACGGGCGCACGGGGCGTACGGGGCGTACGGGCGCACGAGAGTACGGGCGTACCGACCCTGGGCTTGCGCCCCAGGACAAGGTTGTGCATCCGGACCTCCCGGCAGAGACGGGCCTCCTGATGGAGATCGGAGGTTCACGTCGTCAGGTTGAGCCCGTGCCACCAAGCTTCGGTGTACGGCGTACCGACCCCGGGCTTGCGCTCCAGAACAAGGTTGTGCATCCGGACCTCCCAGCAGAGACGGGCCTCCGGATGGATATCGGAGGTTCACATCGCTGGGTTGAGCCCGTGCCACCAAGCTTCGGTGTATGGGCGTACCGACCCCGGGCTTGTGCTCCAGGAAGAGGTTATGCATCCGGACCTCCCGGCAAAGACGGGCCTCCTGATGGAGATCGGAGGTTCACGTCTCCGGGTTGAGCCCATGCCACCAAGCTTCCGGGCTGTGGCCTCACGCCCGCCTCGCCAATTGGATCTCGTGAATTGTTTAGCAATTGGATATTGCTAATTTGACTAGGACAAAATGAAGGCCCACTGAAAGAGAAGTCCAGCAGCGGCAGTCATCATCTCCCACGGTGTTTGGAAGAGAGGAGCCGTATGGATCTGCTGGGCCACAAATCGGAGCTGGCTAGGATGTTCTAGCCGTCCTCGTCGTCCCTGAAACCCGCAATGGAATAGAGGCATGAAGGTGCCACTGCTACAGTACAACTCCGGATCTGCGCCGCCATGAATGGTTCTACATCTAAGTGTGCGAATCAGAACTGTTCAGGCCTAGGGTAGGGGCGTAAAAACGGAAGCGAGCAGAGCCACTGTCCATTGAAGGAAGGAGAGTCGAGCTCTGACGCGGCGGCGTCAGAATCAAGTGGGCGGCGGCAGGGTTGCAGGCCCCCAGCATCGGACGAGACCTTGAGCGGCGACTGCGGGTTGTGGACTTCAATCAGATCCTCATCCTATGCGCTCTGCTTCCGAGCTTCGTAGCTCCGTCAGGGAAATGCGTGGTGTCCGACTAAAGGTCAGCGTTGGAGTTCCACAGGATCTGCCAGGGAGTCTCCTCTGAAAGCCTGACCATCGTCAATTGCTTTACGTCCATCTTTTAGAAATTAGATCTGGATTAGATCTAATCCGATTATTCCCATACAAATTTCTGACTTGTCTTTTTTAATTTTTGTTGGCTTTGGGGGGAATTGTTGATTGTTCCGTGTATAATTTTGGAGCAATTTCACTTGATTACTGCCTGAATCTTCCCAAATTCCTACCGAAAAATGAGAGATTAACTCTCAATGAAAGCACCAATGTTGGTAGAAAATAACCCGGGTAGAGAATTCGGCAGCATTTCAGTATAGTGAGAATAGTTTAGCAGAATACAATGGGTTGGTGGCCTATTTATAGGCATACACAATAGCCCACCAATTAAGTGTTACATGGGCTTGGCCCGATTTATCAGCTAACACTGACGCTAATGGGCCAGCCAGCCCGATGAGTAATTAAATAATCCCGGACCAATATCCGCTAGCCGGGCTGTGTTATGAGCTTGGTCGGGCCAAAGCTTAGGCGTAACGGGCCAATAGTCTTGGACCCGGCTTATTATCCCAACAATGATCAAGTCTAAAATAACACTTAAATTATATACTTCATAAAATTACATATAATAAAAAGAAATAAGAGTGGACACATATTGAAGTAGCAAATCACATTACTACATAAAAGAATAATTCGTAATTGCATATGTCGGTGACAAAAGTAAAAATAGTAATTAAATCCAAGACATAATTTTGCAAAGTAATGTTAGAAAATAAGGCATAATAACGATAGAATGAGATCAAGCTAATATCATCATCATCTTTATATGATCATCAAATAACACTCAAATTAAACTCATCATTTTTCACCTAGATGACAGATGACATATGAGAAATTAAAGTTGTGCGACTGCTACACTTATTATTTTTTATATGTAAAAGTTTATACTAGAAAATGTCAGGTTTAGAAAACCCTTAAATTTGATATGCTTGTGTGGAAAAAGCATCACAAATCTAATAGGTACGTAGTAGTATTTTAGGTTATAGTCTTTTAGGATGCTAACTTTAGTCATCATGCAATTAATTTCAGTATTTAACAATTGTATATTTTGTATTGTAACAATACAAAAACACGGGGTTACAGGGATGAGGGTTTCTTTTATATTTTTAAACTATTGTTGATCTATTCATTTGATGTATTCATTCAAGTGATCAAATCATGTCTCTATTTTTTGTAAAATACGGGAAATATACGTTTTATACGTGAAGCGGAAGTTTTTTTCCCTTTTTAAACGGACTGACATTATTTTTCGTTTTAAACGCGTTTTTTTGTTCAAAAAAACGGTACGTGTTTAAAACGCGTTTTAAACGCAAAAAGCTAACTATGATATCTAATAAGATAGCCCAATTAAGTATTTGGGGTCCGATCATTATAATATGGCCCCAAACGTTAGTACGATCAATCATACATTACGTAAAATATTAATCGTTTTACAATAGTTTGATAATGGGAAATCAATGCATCAACTTTGATTTTTAAATTGAATTTCAAAAATGTCCGGGTGCGGTGTCACAGACTAAATATAAAAACAATGATCATATTTACATTTAAATCCTATATTGTAGCGATTATAAAAAAGTACGACATCTCATCCCCGAGATCGCCATGATCGGCCGAGCAGTTATCTCGTATGACACCTCATCCCTGAGATCGCCAGAATCGACCGAACAGTCATCTAGCAGGAGATAAATTCAACTTTAATCACGTATTGAGCATTGATAGGTAGAGAGTGGGATCCTGGCCGAACGGATTTAGGTCTAAGACCAAACCAACCCATTTGAATAGTAACAATACGGGTATAGGTCCAGCCAAATATTGGACTGGACCGGACCGGACCGCGCCCACCTCTACCCGTAGATGCTTCTATTTTTACCGATTTGACTCGATCTAATTGGGTTTTGGTTAAATATTCTTGTTTTTTTACCAGTTTCGTAATTTGGCCAACTGTTGTCAGTTTGCCACTTACCAGCGCTTCAGAAACTCGCAACTTCGTAGCTCTCCACTCCCAGTCGCCCCGCCATCGCACTATCGCCGCCGATTCGGGAAATCCGAACTCGGCTCCTGAGTCACAGCGACCTCACTTTAGATCTAGATCCAGCCTACAGATCTCCTGGACTCGTGGTTAGTCTGTCCTCGCACTCTCTCAGGCTCGCCTCCTTCACAAATTAAGACATTTGTTTAAATCCTAATCTGAAATTCGCATCATTTCCCATTTCTGGCCTTGCGGTTAAATGGTTGATAACTTAATTTAGAATCTTGCTTGGGAAAATATAGGGAGATCTGTTGTAGGTGGTTAGTGGATTTCGGTTGGTGGGTCTTTGATTCTTTACAAATTAAAGCCTCTAAAGGTCGTCACCTTAAGGTCTTACTCCATATATAATTTTCATTAAAAAGCAGGAGGAAATGGAGTAGAAATAGGTATGAGCTGTGCGGTGTCTCAGACAGAAACCTTAATTTGAGTATGAGTGAGAAACTCATTTAACCTTCTCAATCACCTCATCTCTTTTACATACCCGCATGCTTAATTTGTATTGATGTATGCTGTTTTATGAGGATCTGTATTTGTATGTTGTTTGCTTAATCTATTTGCGTTATTAGCAAAGTTTTGTTGAGGAAAATTCTACTATATGTATGAAATTATTAATTAATACGAGTAATTTTCTTAGTTTTACTGAAAATTGTTGAGGAAAGTTGTAGTTTTTCTTAAATTTTATTAATATATGGTCTCTTAGTTTTTACTAAATGTGGTACTAAATTTTATTAGTATATTATCTCTATCTATATTGTTTTTCTTAATTTTAATTTTAAAGCAATTTTTGAACACCCTAAATACGAGGGCTAGGTTCTGTGACTGCGCTCCACAGATCATTCATTTATGTTGTTTCACATAAATGTTTGCTCTGTTGTTTTTTTCAACAAGCGACTAACATTTTGTTTTAATTTACAACAAAAAGATTTGTCCGTGCAGTGTGCACTTTTTTAAGGAGTATCTATTACATCAAAATTTTTAGTGTTTAATTAATATGATCTACTCCTTCCGTGTCTTACTGCTTATGGTTTGATATTTTAGCATTTCACATTTATTTCTTATTTGATGCCTAAGACATATCTAACGAAAAAGAGAAGGTATTCTCTAGCTATTTCATAGTCGCCTTGAGCATTTATTTTGGCCATAGATACATCAATATCTAGTACAAGTAATTTTTTTATCCCCTCAAACTGTAAAAGGGATTGCAAATTTGCAACAATAAACAAAGACACAGGAATTATCTTTTTTTTTTTGTGTCATATCCCAAAACACCAGATAGTAATAGCTGTTTCCACCTTTCCATTCTATGCATGGAAAGAAATTTCAAAAAGTTTGAATTTTTTAACTGGTAACAAAGCACTGCTGATTTTTCTACAGGATAACAAACTATGTGGCGGTTCAAGCCTTTTTCACATAAGGAACAGAGTGGACTTGAAGACCGAACTATTGACATTGGCAATCTCAAAGTTCATGTTCGTAATATAATAGCAGAGGGAGGATTTTCTTGTGTTTATCTGGCCCGAGATGTAATCCATTCTTCAAAACAGTATGCTCTGAAGCACATGATATGCAACGATGAAGAATCTTTGGAAGTTGTGTTGAAAGAGATCTCTGTCTTGAAATCACTTAAGGGGCACCCTAATGTGGTCAAGCTTTGTGCTCATACGATCATTGACATGGGCCGCACCAAGGAAGCTTTAATTTGTATGGAGTATTGTGAGAAATCTCTGGTTAGTGTACTTGAGGGAAGAGGGTCTGGTTATTATGAAGAAAAACAGATCTTGACCATTTTTAGGGATGTGTGCAATGCGGCTTTTGCTATGCATTGCCAATCTCCCCCTATCGCCCACAGGTCAATTTCACATTTATGCTTTTAGAAAAACTATATTTGCTACTAAGTGTTTTACTCACCCCTCAGCAATGGAATTGTTTTTTAAAGGGAAATTATCTTTTATATTCTAATATACAGGGACTTGAAGGCAGAGAATATCTTGCTAGGTCCAGATGGATTATGGAAATTGTGTGATTTTGGTAGCATCTCTACCAATCACAGGCGGTTTGAGAAGCCTGAAGAAATGGGAGTTGAGGAAGACAATATTAGGAAACACACCACTCCCGCTTATAGAGCACCCGAGGTTATCTATTTGTTACTTTTAATCTCTAGACTTACTATCATTTTTGAGTTGGTTACTGACCTGCCCTTTTTTACTTAGATGTGGGATCTTTACAGAAAAGAACTGATAAATGAGAAAGTAGACATATGGGTAAGTTGTCTTACTCTTACTGATGTTAACAAATTGACATTTATTAAACGTGGATGTCAATTTTACAACTCTGTGGTGCACAGGAGTAGCTATGTTTCCCATCCCTACAAATATAATGTCTTTTGTTTTAAGTCGTTGGATTTTTCCCCTGGTAAATAATCTCTCTTTAGTCCCTCCCTATTATCCTCAGTTTTAGAAAATGACGGTCTCTTGCAAAACTCCAATGTGGTATTTCCTCATCAACATTATTTAAGTCACTGGTGACTATTATAGAGGAGCTAGGGCTAAGCAAAACTCACCATTTCCTTTTCAGTTTGTGCATCTCATATGAAAATAATCCGTAAGCAATTATTTTTTAAATGGCATCGAAAAGCTATGCCTGAGTTTCTTTTTCTACGGGATCCTAAAACCTAAAAGCGTTATTTCTGCAATGTAAAAAGCCGTAACTAAGTCTACTTTTGTCACTACATGTTTACCCTGACTACATTGGACAGGCTCTTGGTTGTCTACTGTTTCGTATATGCTTCTTCAAGTCAGCATTCGATGGTGAATCAAAATTACAAATCTTGAATGGAAACTACCGTATTCCGGAATTACCAAAATACAGCACGACTATTATTGACCTTATTAAGGATATGCTACAATCTTCTCCAGATGCCCGACCTGATATTACGCAGGCAAGCGCTTTGCTTGATTGGACATTGATCAACATGAGTTTAGGTTAGTTAGTAGATCCGTGCTGCCCATGACAGTAAGAAGGGCTGACTATTCTCTAAAGCTTTTCTCATGCTCCTTTTCTAATGACAGGTATGGTTCCGTGTTAATGGTCTGTTACCTGATGGGCTACAGAAATCATTGCCTGATAAAGCTCCTGGTTTGCTGCAACAGGGGATTGATTTGCATGATGGTAAGTGTGTCTCTGTATTACGCCTGACCATTGTTTTGAGATGTGGAATATTGGAATTTTCAACAAAATAATGATGAGTTCACAAAAATATCAGGTGTACCAGATATTTTTGTGATGGTTTAAGTAGGGCGTGTGTGTCTAAATAGAACAAGAGCGTACCATATGCTTTCTTTTTTGGAAAGTGATCTTCTATAGCATTTCAGGAATTGCTTATAACGTATTAGGATTATTTTTTCCCCACCATAACCTTATTCTTTTACAAAAATAACACTTTACTCCTCCTCATCATTACCCCAGTGCTGCAAAGGCTCCCACCTATGGTGGGGTAGGGGGGTCGGATGTACGCAGTCTTACCCCTGATTTCCCCTCACTGCTGCTTCATAATAAAGAAGCACAAACAGTTTAGTGAGCCATTTTGCTTTATTCCATGATTCCATCATATTCCAAAGCCAAAAAATAGCGAGTCTATGGCTCAATTGTAAATTATGGAAAGTAACACTCTTTACTAATACACACACACATGTATTTATATAAATAAGCTGCTCAATAGCAAGCTTTACCAAACACTTTAACACCATTTAAAGCTTTGTACTTTCAACTCTATGTATTTTACAGATTTCAGCTAATTTTTGACTTTCAGCTAACTTTTCAGATAAATGTGCAAACCGGACTTTGTTAGGGGGCGTTTGGTTCTTTGCACATTAAAATTTCACACGTAAACTGATTGCAAGTAAACTGTAGGGCTGCAATCTTTTTGCACGTAAAGAATAATACATTGTTTGGTAAGGTATGTGATCCATTTTTAAAATACATGCAAAGTAAAATGCATTGTTTGGGAAAAACAAACTAACGTACATGAACCTTGTAAACTTACCGTCATATCATTACAAATTAATTAGTATTTGGAAAACATAAGGCTTCCGAACACTCACGAATGTATAATTTCAGGAATCAATTTTCAATGATGTTCTGCAATTACTTTCACACTCCGTATTTGTTAACAATTATCATCAAAACCCATAACTTTTAATGTCTATTTAGAGTAAATTTTAAACAATTTGCCTCAAATTCAAAATTAGGAGTACAATTCCTAACTTCTAGAAATCTCTAATCAACTCATGGGTGTGAGAGCAATGTTACGCAGCACAGAAGAGGTGGCGAGAGGGTATGATCATTTATTGGAGGTTTGTACGGTGGAAGTGACGGCCAACAGAAATTATATTTCCATCGTTTTTTCATGTGAGAAAATAGGGTTAGCATCGTACGGTTTTAATTTAATGTATTTTATTTAAAGAATGTAAAATATTTTACCACCCTCCCCCACGTAAAGTATTTTACATGGTACAGTGTAAAATGTTATAAAATAGTACCCTACAGTTTACATTAAATAATCGTACCAAACGGTGTAAATTGTTTGCATCCCTACACTTTGCATGCAAAGTAATTACTTTACACCTTAACAAACGCCCCCTTAAGCTATTCTACAGTGTTTGATATATGGATTTATCAGTTCTTTTCTGTATTAAAGAACTAATTTGTCAGTTGTTTTCTGTAAAGAACTGATAAATGTGCAAAACAGACCTTCATAAAAGATGTGCAAAAAAGATTAGGAGCATTGCTTATCAAGGTTCCTAGTCTGATTTGACATGTTTATATGGATTTTTTGCTATTTGACTTCCATTTTGCCATTAGATTTATGGTTGAGAGAAATATGGTGGTAGAAGAGGAGATTGAGTGAGGGTTCTATTCATACTTGTTAGTGCGGTAAGGCGAGTCGCGGCGCCAGCCGACTGCCATATCGCCTAGATGACAATTAGGCGACTAGACTAAGATTGTATTTTATACACACACATAGGGGGAACATGTGCAAACTGTGCTTATCGTGCAAACGTTTGTACGATGCATCTTTACGTTATTTGTATTGCATATTGAAGTTCAAAGTGTTGCATAATATTCAAGTCTTAAAATAGCACTTGCATATTAAAGTTCAAAGAGTTGCATCCTAAAAAAGTTGGGTTTTATTACAAAAGCGCCACCTTGTCTTTATAGCCTCTAGATGAACTCATCAGATAGTCAAGATGAGTTTGTAGGTTAGTAAATTAAGCATGATTTGTATTTGATCTCTAAAATGAGAACTCATTTATAAATGAGAACTCTTAATCTCCAACTATGATATATCAAATCAAGGGCTAGAATCAACAAGGTGGTGTTTTTGTAATAATTTTATAATATTTACAAAAAATACCCGTTTGATTTTTTGATAATTACACAAAGGAACCCATGTGCATCTTACCAATGATTGAATAAAATGAAAGATTGTGATTAAAAGTTCTTATTATAAGAAATTTTCATTTTAGGTGGGGTTCTCACTACAACCCTCCCATATATATATTAATATGTATAACTATATATATAATTATATTATATATAACATTCTATTTAACTATACTTAATTTGTAATATATTACTCCCTCTGTCCAGCTAAGATTGTCCCATTTTCCTTTTCGGAAATTCCCACTAAGATTGTCCCATACCAAATTTGGTAAAGTTTGTGTGACTCTAAATCAGTTTTACTTTATTCTTACTTCATCAATTCAATATCAACCACATAAACTCACTTTTTTGAGTAATATTATTTATGATATATTACTACATAATTGTATTACCTCCGTCCCGAAATAATTGTCTTGTTTTCTTTTTTGGGATGTCCCAAAATAATTGTCTTGTTTCCTCTTTTGGCAACAATGTGTAGCTCATATCAATTCACCTTTTTTCTACCCAAATCTCAACCACTTTCTTAAAACATGAGTTAAATCAAACAAGACAATTATTTCGGGACAAAGGGAGTAGTATATTAGCAAGGATTGAAACCAAAAATTAATAATTGAAAACAAGGTTTATTTATGGGAATTAAGAGTTATATACTTATACACTGTAATGTGTATCTATACATACTTTATAGTGTATACGCCTTATATATTAAAATTAAACTATGTAAACTGTAGTGGGTATACTGCTTAGTGCGTAACTGCATATAAAAAATATTAATATAATAGAGAAGTCTGATAAAGACATAAAGTAATAAGTGAATATTGAATAACTGATAAAAATAAAAAGGGGGAAGGAGCGCAGGTTGTATTCAAGCTTGCGACGCAGGCACGCAGCAATTGCAGGTTGTCTTCAACCTTGCGACAGAGGCACACAGCAGAGAAGTAGCGACTAGTGTTGCGCCGATGCTTCGGGTTTAGGAGTCGTGATTGGCCTTCAAGATTGAGAGAGTGATGATTATGGGCTGGGCTTCTAAAAATGAATTTATTGAGATTTTAATGTCCCCTGATGTGACGCAAGGACTTTGCCTGGACGACATGTTTACGCCTGGACGATGCCAGAGGTGACTTATCTTCTTTAGGCGAGTCAATCTCCCCTATTGACTCTTGTCTATCGCCAGGACGCCTAGTCAGTGACTAGCAATGCAGTGACAAGTATGGTTCTATTTAGTAAAGTAAATGAGGATAACTTATTGCTTTCACCAAGTAACTAATAATGAACAATGATTTTATTTGTGGATGTGCGGAGAAATGAAAGAAGGAATGTTCTTTTGAGATAGAGTACATGTTTACAAACTTAGGGTGAGACCAATAATTTTAATTCTACATCTTTAACAAAACCTCTCTGGCTCTCTGGTTATCCTCATACTCTATAATAAACACTTCTGTTCTTGTCGTTTGGCGGATGAAAGAATGGGCCAGTACTTCAACTGGCCCTAGATGGGGTCAGTCATAGAATAGATATCGGCATATCGCTGCCTGAAATACCTACAATTCAGGTGGCGATTTCTAGAGATAGACTGTAGAGTATAGTAGTATGGCCTCTATGGATTCGACTCGAAGGTCTGTTCACTTGTTCAGAACCTGGAAAGTCGTCGTCATCATCATCATCATTACCCAAGAACTGAAAAGGCTCCCACCTACGGTGGGGTAAGGGGGATGTACGCAGCCCTTACCCCTGTACTAAAGCTAGCACAGAGAGACTGTTTCCGAATGGCCCATGGTGAAAATTGCATTGAAAATTGCATGGACTGACCGCTGCTTCATAACAAAGAAGCGCAAATAGTTTAGTGAGCCATTTTGCTTTATTCCATCATATTCCTAAGCCAAAAAATAGTGAATCTTATGCTCCATTGCAAATGATGGAAGTTCAGAACCTGGGAAGTACTAGTGAAAAAATTAGGAAGGAAAACATAGTGACGTATCACAGTATCAGTAATTAAGAAAATATGGGAGCAAATGATAGGCTAAAAGTTTAAAACTGAATGACCTTATTCTAGGTATTGGTCAATATATATTTTATTTATTAATGTCGGAATATATGAAATGTAAAGAGTAAAGCCTTGAAAAAATTAGTGTGTAAAATTTTAGAGACACAAATCATTTTTTGTTTTATGTTGCATTTTTCATGTAAAACCAAAGATAAGAAAGCAACATTCTTTTTGTATTTTCCGCGACCTAAACATACCCTTATGCAATCTAAATGTATTGGTTGGTTAACTTTGAATCTACGAAGCAGGGAAACTCTTGCCAATGAGCATGTTTCCGTTTTGAAAATTCTACGCAAACTCTTTAGAAACTTCACTAATACTTGTTTTTTAATTAAAAGATGGTGTTCTGATTCATGTTTCCTCATTCTTCACACATTTGTGTGCAACATAGCTTTGAATAGGACCCGATTTGTGTCTTTGAAGTCTGCACGAAGAATAGTGATAAATATATTGAAATTTGATACTCCTGCTTGTTTTTATTATCTTAATAATTGCTCTTTGTTTGCACGCAAGTTAAAGCACTTAGTCTGAAGTAAGACATGTAAAGTGCTATATCAGGTACTCCAAGAACAGCAAGCAAATCTAATCCAGTGCCTCAAAGAACTCCACCGCCTCCTCCTGCAGCTACTACAGAGGCAGCCCGAAATGCATCACCATCTTATAACCCCACAATGGGTGGAGCTAGTGGCCCTATAGGCGCTTTTTGGAACACTGAACACGCAAAGAAAGTAGCCCCAGCCGAGAAAACTAGACTCAAATATGATGAAGATTCGACTGATATAGATTTCTTCCATGGTAATTCTGACGAAAGTGATGATAGAAATGAATCATTTGATGCTTTTGTGGCGGAATTTAGTAGCAATGAACACAGTTCTGGAAATAATAGTAAGAAATCTGGGAACGAACTATTAGAGGCCGAGGTTGAAAAGCTGAAGGAGCAGTTGATGCATGCCAACATGGAGAAAGCTGAAATAACTTCCAAGTACGGGAAACTGTCTGCCATATGCCGATCACAAAGACAGGAGATACAAGAACTTAAACAGGCTCTTGCTGCTAAAACTCCATCTCCAAACAAAGATTCCTATAAAAACCAAATGCCTCCTTCGAATCAGTCATGCAGTACCTCACATGTACCCACTTTTCCCTGTGATTTAATAGTCTTTAAATTATTATTAATATTATTATTATTATCGTTATTTTTATTACAATTATTTTGAAAGAGTTGAGATCAAGTTCCAGGTTTGATACATGAGGCCATCTCTCTAAAGCTCATTTTGGCTCGTAATCGGGGCATGGTTGTCAAGCTCGTGAGCTAGGTATCAAGCTTGAGACCTGATAATGATAGGTTTCAAGCTTGAGACCTGATAAGGCTAGGTATCAAGCTTGAGACCTAATAAGGCTAGGTATCAAGCTTGAGACCTGATAAGGCTAGGTATCAAGCTTGAAACAAATGACTTCTGAGCTTTGCTTCAGACTCCAATCGAGATAAAGCTTGGAACAAGTGGAGTATTAGTCCAAAATGTTAGTGAGCCGAGTCGAGCTCAAACATTTCCCAATAGCTTAGGTTTGTGCCATTGTCTTTTTTGGTACAGCATACTAGGGAAAGCGTCGAAGGAACTGTTTGGGAACTCCAACAAGGGTTATTTAACCAGAGCCCCCCAGGCCCAGATGATCTTAAGCCATGGCAGGCTTTTGCAGATGATGGTCGTCCTAAACCTCTCACTAATACTTCTAGTAGCACTCCAAGGTCCATGAGGACGAAAGATAACAAGCCTAGCAAACAGCCTTCTTCTGATACAAGTTGGGGATTTGGAAGTGATAGTTTTACTGCACTTCCCTCTGCTACCTCGCAGATAAGTGCTTCTTTTAATGAACTGAACAATTCTAAGTTGAAGCGCCCGGGGAACAAATCACCATCTCAACCTGCTGGCTGGGCCGGCTTCTAGGACAAGTTAAGCAGTTAATACTTTCTATTATAACTTGATTTTTGTTTTGTTGAGAAAAACTCAGTGGTGATGACAGTAAGTATAGTAAAAGAAAAAAATAGTGGCGGTGACTGGTGATCTAAGTTGTTTCTGATGTTGAATGTGTTGCGTGTAGAGATTTCTGACTTGTATTGATCTGAAAATTATATTTATGTGTGATATGACCACTATCTTTTTCATCATACTTTATTGCACAAGTTATTGGGTAATGTATTTCAATGTTAAGATTTATTATAAGTACAAGGTTTAAACCCAATTCTGGTTCTTAGCTAGAAATGAGTTTCAAATATTCAATACCGAAATGGCATTGTACTGAAATATCTACGTCACAACCATGAACTGAAACCAGAACTTTATATTACTAGTTTGGTTGATGTTGGTTGTTTGGAACTGGAACAAGATGGGTTGAAATGTGGAGCTTAGTGGCTCGTCCTTGGCTGTGCTTAAATGGTGTTTGTTTTCAAGAAAATGCCTTAAATATAACTACAAATGTGGTGGTATCGTTTAATAGGAGTAAACATTGTCATCTCCGAAAATAATGTTAGATGATAATATTGCTTTATTAATGCCTCATAATACAACATTTCTGAAATATGAGTAAAAACACTTAAGAGTTCCAAATTTCCAATGTAGGAGTCATGTTTTTATTTCAAAGTTGTCATAGTTTGAAAATTGTTGTCAAAGTTGAAAAATACTACTATGTTTAAAGTATGGTAATGTAAAACATGAAATAATTACTCTAATTCAAAAATATGACAATTCTAGAATTCACAAACTTGTTTTTACTCCTATTCAACCCAAATTCTTAATGTATAATATGAGTCATTAATTCTTATTCAGAAAGAATATTCAATAAAATAAGATTTTAGTCTTATTTTAGAAAATTTCTCTTTACTTTTTAAAAGAAAAAACTTATACTAATGGAAGAAGTAAATTGAGTATCTGTATAATCAAACCCGCAAAAGACTCCTGTTTATTCGCCCTATGATTAGAATCAAAGACGATGAACTCTGAGAGAGCAATTTGGATTGTAGACCATCACACGAGTTAAATTACGTTCTTAATGACTTGTGTGGCTCCACATACTTGTCATTGAATAAAATTTGATTCAAACTCAGACCACTTTGTAAAAGAGAAATGGTTCCGGATAGGATTAAAAAAGATGATATATACGTAAATAGGAGTTCAATGTTTTTAACTCTTAAGTAGGACTTAATTTTCCGTCTCTTCCGATTTTGCCCGGATCTTTAATTTTAAATGCTCCGTGTTGACCATGAAGGTGTAAACCAAGAAAAGCGGCCGTAAAGCAAATCAACTTGCACTCTTTCTAGAAGAGTAGAAGTAACATATTTCCTGTCACGGCGGCGGTGGAATAGCCTAGTTTTACGGCTACTCGTCGACAATAAGGCAGCGACGGTGGAATACCTCGGTTGCACGACTACTCGCCGGCGATGGGGGTGGCGACGCGGCAGCGGCCGCTGGGCATGGAGGCCATTCTTCTTTTCCTTTTTTTATTTCATTCTCCGACCTCTTCATCCCTTACTCTTCGTGGTCTGCTTTCACCTTGCCAACTTTTTTGTTGACTTTCTGATATAGCTCAGTTTGTTGAAGTTAGTTACTTGGCCGTTGAATATGCTAGTTAGTTAGATGAACTAGTGGTTAGCTAAATACTGTATACTCCCTCCGTCCCGTTGGAATGTTCCCGGTTTGACCTACACACATATTAAGGAAATAAACTTACCAGGGGGTAAATTTTACTGTTTGGACACTGTTTGGACACTGTTTGACACTGTTTGACACTGTTTTGCACTGTTTGACACTGTTTTGATGTAGGATAACTTTCCATTTAAGGAAATGAGAACTTTCCATTGGGACATCCAAAAAAGGAAAGTTGGAACATTCCAACGGGACGGAGGTAGTATATAGCTACTGAGTTCATTGTAAAAGACATGTTGTTAATAAAATCCTTTTGGATATTCCCTCACATCTCTTTCTCTCTTTTATTTTGCCATTTACGTTCTTATACAGCCCTCGAGTTCTCTTCTCCATTTCATGAGAATTCCTGGACTGTAACACTTTCGTTTCAATTTCTTCCTGTTTTCCAGATCTACACACTATTTTTTTTTATCTATCCACTATTCTTGCTTTAAGATTCTTTTTCTCGTTTTTCTTTTCCTTTTTTGTTTTTAAATTTTTTCTTTTTTTCTTTTACAGTTCAATATAAATTACGCTATTTTTTCTTTTATAAATTACACAAGGAAACAGAGGAGCATGTGGCTTGGCCCCGTGGACAATAACAGAGATGTGCAGATAGCGTCGGAGATAGTTTTGATGATGAGATGAGGCATGGCGAGAAGACCCAAGTGCGAATCACTGGATCAACAAGACTATTTGGCTGTCTCTTGGCCTGCAGGTTGCTGGACGTGGAAACGGGATGACCTTTCATTAGGCCGGTATCGTGGGAGGCGGAAGCTCTGAATTGGGATTGGACAATTTCGCTAAGCCTAGGACCTTAATTGGTTCGATGCCCAGCTGCTATTTAGATATTTGGACTGTTTTCTTTGGGTAGTGTGGATAAAACTGATAATGGCATGTTAATAATGATGATCTTAACATATTATATTAACATTATCACATTTTTTCCCTTGTGGCTCTATGTTTTTTCACCAATGATATTAATTTTATAACACTGACATCATTTCATTGTCACATAATGACATTGTATATTGCATTGTCGTATAATCACATTATAATACATTTTCAATAATCTACTTTTCAATAAAAATAATATCTTTTTTATATCGTTGATATTAACATTCACATTGTCAGAAGACAGACATTGACATTGCGATTATTACAAAGTCATTTTATGTCATTGATATTGTCATTATTGTTTTTTGAAATTACAGTACTTTTTACATTGTGACATTATATGATAATGTAATATAATGCATTGTATAAAAGTTAACGTCATTATATGTATAAATGTAATAAAAATGTCATTAGATTTAACAATGTCATTTTCATAATGATTGACATTCTTATGACATTGTCATTGATACTCTGATGACATTATCATTGACATTTTTTATAACATTGTTATGACATTGTAATTGACATTGTCGTCGTGATTAATTGACATTATAACAATTTTTCGATATTGTGACTTTTCTTTTATAAAATTAACATTGTCATAATGGCTATTGACATTGTCATAATTACAATGTCATTTTATAACATCGACAATGACATTGTCATTGTCACATTTTCTTAACCCGATGACATTTTTATGACATTGGCATTGCCATTGTGTCAAGATATGTTGAGTCAACCTGAATTCATTTTGGTTCCACATTTTAAAATTTGAATCACAAATCGAACTCAAAATAGCACTTAGAATGGTTCCCCATTCTTCCTAGCAATGACAGAACCTCAAAATAGCACTCAAATCTAACTCAAATATAACTTCAGAACAAAAATGCATTTCTTTCGAGTTTCTGCTTGGGATCTAATAGAATGTGTGCATGATAGAACCTTATCATAGACATGGCCTTCGTTTTGCAAGTGCTTAATACTTGACAATGTCATTTTTTATAAAATGGTAGGGATTACATTATATCTCAATGACGACAATGTCAATAACATTGTAATATCGTTGACATTGTTATGTCATTATTATTGATACTCTGTATTTAAATTTTGGACAATATCATTTTCAAAACGTCATGATAATGTCATTGTGCATAGACAATGTCAATAACAATGTCAATAACAACAATATTTTTTTCCATGAAAACTTACTAAGTTTCAATAAGAGCAATTTTAGATCCTCTGAAACAGACCTGAATGTAGCTTGCTATAAAACAAGATAAGTGACTAATTGATTTAAAAAAAGACAAGTGACTAATTAAATGGATCAAAAAATACTCGTAATAATTAAACAAATGATGTGCTACGTAGTAAAAATTAAACAAAACAATAAAAGGAAAATTTAACAATTTAAAAATGAAATTAGATAAATTAGATAACAAAAGCTAAACGAACCAAAAGCAAAAGGAATGGGAAAGAGCATAAGAGCATTCGGCAACAAAATTTAATGCCCACAAAAAATAAACGTAGATCTGCGGAAGAATTAAGGTGGAGGAGAAAAGAAGATCGGCAGAAGAAAGGAAGAAGAAAGGATAATAAGAAGAAGAAGATCTGTTGAGCACTTCGGCGACGAGCAGCGGAAGAACACTCCAGCGACGACCAGCGATGGAGCACTCCGGCGACGACCTGCGGTAGAGAAATTCAGTGACGGCCTGCAGCAGAGCACTTTGGCGATAACCAGTGAGAGACCGGCAGTGGACATAGAAGGTCTCGGATCAGCACCGACGAGTACAATTAATCGCGCCCGAAGGCCTTTGTCTTCGGCAGTTCGGCTCTTGGCTAGCGAGGCATAATTTAATCGATGTCAGCTGGGTAGGAGAAGCGAGTACCTAGGTGCTGTTCTGTTCGTCTTATTCTTATTACTTATTGCTTATTCTTATTTTATTCAGATCAGATCAGATCAGATCAGAAAAATTCAGATCAGATCAGATCAGATCAGAAAGATTCAGATCAGATCAGATCAGATCAGAAAGATTCAGATCAGATCAGATCAGATCAGAAAGATTCAGATCAGATCAGAAAGATTCAGATCAGATCAGAAAGATTCAGATCAGATCAGACCAGATCAGAAACATTCAGATCAGATCAGAAACATTCAGATCAGATCAGATCAGAAAAGTTCAAACATGATTTATCACTTTTATTATTATATTAATTATTATTATTAATATTGTTATTACTATTATGATTATTATTATTTATAATTATTATTAATATATTAATAATAATATGATAAAGAAATAAGATATTAATAATAGTTATAATATTTTAATATAATAATAGTAATATAAATGCAATTATTAAGAAGACTATTATTATTAATATTATTACTATTATTATTATTATTATTATTATTATTATTATTATTACAATATAATAATAATATGATTAATATTATTATAATATTATATTATAATTATATGTAATTATAATTATAATTACAATCATAATTCTAATAATTATAATTATAATCAATTGTAATTATTATAATTATATCTATAATTAATTATAATTATAATAATTATAATTATAATTACCATCATAATTATAATTATGATTATAATTATAATTATAATATAATATTATAATAATATA